CGTCCCTACAAATTAAGTAGAAGAAGCCGAAAAGTATAGTCACTAACAAGTAATGGAAAAAACGCTACTAGAATAATAAAAAGCAACCCAAATCTACAGATTATGACTGCAGAGAATATGAGCATCACAGCGCTATTAAAAGCCCTTTCCTAAAAGCAAAGAAAACCAGGCAGTTGCCAATCAAATCCATTAGTGCAATAGAATCAATTAAAAAATTGCACAGAAAAACCCAGTGATAAAGGGCCATCTATTTTCCTTGAGGGCTAGAATCATGCTTTCCAAAACAAAACGGAAACGAAGAAATGTGAGATTTGGCATTTTTGCCAGACCCCAGAGAAAAGCATGGACCTCGGAGAGGGATTTATTTTTTTGCAACCTGTAACACCTGCAGTAAAGGCACCCCCCCACACACACACACAAAGAAACCTGGGTGCTACAATTCCCAGCACCCTCAACTCCGCTTACCCAGAAATAATACCTCGGGTTAAGAACTTTGCTTCAGGATGAGAACAGAAATCGTGCTCCGGCGGTGCCCCGGCAGCAGGAGGCCCTATTAGCTAAAGTGGTACCTCAGGTTAAGAACAGTTTCAGGTTAAGAACGGACCTCCGGAACGAATTAAGTACTTAACCTGAGGTACCACTGTAATTTGAAGAAAACAAATAAATAATTTAAAAAATAATAATAATCTTAAAACGATGAGCTTCATGGGGTATCCAGGATTTATCGCGTTAGAAGAGAGGGAGAAGGATAATTTGTCCATCCGCTTTCTCCCATGCCATGCCGTTTTACAAACTTCCATCCTGCCTCTGCCTGTGCCTTTCCTCCAAGCTGAAAATGCTGCAAGCTCTCCTCATAACCATAGCTTAGAGGTCCCAGGCCCTAAGGAAGTCAGACTATCCTCCACCAGGGCCAGGGCCTTTTCAGTGATGGCTCCAACCAGGTGGAATGCTCTGTCCCAGGAGACCAGGGCCCTTCAGGATTTAACCTCCTTCCGCAGGGCCTGTAAGACAGAGCTATTCCTCCTGGCCTTTAATTTGAATCCAGCCTGATCTTTTATTTCCCTTCTCTTCCCTCCCCCTCCCCTTTTATGAAGCTCACCCGCTCTGAGACCCCACAGCTAATTCTCCCCCGGGCCTCCTCGCTGGCCCAAGTAGGACCAATGCAGCCAGCTAGCCCTGGGGATTATCTAATGCTTATTTCCCCCTAAATGGATTTTTATTGTTATTCATGTTTTTATACTGTATTTTATGCTGCTTTTACAATTAAGTGTTTTGAATTTGTTGCTAGCCGCCCTGAGCCCGGTTTTGAACCGGGAAGGGCGGGGTATAAATAAAATGTTTTTATTAATTTATTACTATTGGCGAAGTCATGGAATCGTAGAGTTGGATGGGCACTCCAGCGGTCATCTAGTCCACCCCCACCCCCTGCAATGCAGGAATCTCAGCTCGAGCATATGGCCACCCAACCTCTTGCTTTAAGGAGAGTCAAACAGCTCTTGCTGTCAGAAGGCTCTTCCTGACAATTTAGCCGGAACCTCCTTTCTCGAAACCTGAAGCTCTGGGTTCGAGTCCTACCCTCCGGAAAAAACGAGACCCAAAAGGAATTGGCAGTTGGGTGAGGCGAGCTGCTGGCTTGGTGCCCCCATTCCAGAAAGATCTGACCGCAGTGGGGGGGGCGGCGTTGGCACCTCTCTGAGTGGCGTGGGGCCAAGCGGTCAGCCCTCAAGGCTGCCGTGGGGCGGGCGCCGCCGCGAGCCAGTGGAAATGTACCCACTTGGCATCGCCGGGCCCGAGAGGACAAAAAAAGCGCTACTTTTGTTTCCCCAAAACTCGCTGAGCTCAGGAGATTCCAGAGCAGGGGGAAAGGATCATCTTGTCCTAATATTCAAACAAGCGTGCCATCGCGGGAGGCCTGGCGGAGCCCAGATGTGGGGGGAGAGAGGAGAGGAAACTATTTCTCTGCTCTCCCACGAACACCCCCACCCCGTGGGAAAATGTGCTTCCGCTGGTGAGAAAAATTATAGGGGGATAGGAGAGGGTCACTGATAAGGGACAGTTACATTTCTGAAGGACAGGACAGGATGCCGAAAGAGAAGGGGGTTGGTCGTAGCTGTCAATGTTTTCCTTTCTTTAAGGGAAATTCCCTTATTCCGAATAGGATTCCTCGCAAGAAAAGGGAAAAGTTGACAGCTATGGGGGGGGGTGGATGAGAGAAACCGTACACCCTCATTACTAACTGGGAGACCTTGTGCCCAGTGCCAGATTTACGTATAATAAACAAGCTATAGCTTAGGGCCCCACGCTCTTGGGGGTCCCCCAAAAATTTAAAGGAAAAAAAATATAAAATAAAAAACAAATAAAACAAAACCGACATACAGCAACAGTGTTTGGTGTTGTATAGGCTCCTAGGATGTAAGTCATGGGCCCCACCTGCTAGCCTGCTCCCTAAAACAAAACTGGTTTGCTCCTTTCTATATATAGGGTGCCTACATTCTGCATTGCCAACCTAGCAGTTCGAAAGCACGTCAAAGTGCAAGTAGATAAATAGGTACCGCTCTGGCGGGAAGGTAAACGGTGTTTCCGTGCACTGCTCTGGTTCGCCAGAAGTGGCTTAGTCCTGCTGGCCACATGACCTGGAAGCTGTACGCTGGCTCCCTCGGCCTGTAAAGCGAGATGAGCGCCGCAACCCCAGAGTTGGCCACGACTGGACCTAATGGTCAGGGGTCCCTTTACCTTTTACCTCCAGGTCCTAGTCTGACACTCTAATCACTTTGCCACACTGGGTGACAGGTCTCTTGCTGCATCTAATATCTGCTGGAGGGGCAACACCCCCCCCCACCTACACATAAATTCCTGCAACAAATGTAGATGTGAAAGATTTGGATTATATTATAAAAGGGACGCAGGTGGCGCTGTGAGTTAAACCACAGAGCCTAGGACTTGCCAATCAGAAGGTCGGCGGTTCGAATCCCCGCGACGGGGTGAGCTCCCATTGCTCGGTCCCTGCTCCTGCCCAACCTAGCAGTTCGAAACACAAAGTGCAAGTAGATAAATAGGTACCACTCCGGTGGGAAGGTAAACGGCGTTTCCGTACGCTGCTTTGGTTCGCCAGAAGCAGCTTAGTCCTGCTGGCCACATGACCCGGAAGCTGTACGGCGGCTCCCTCGGCCAGTAAAGCGAGATGAGCGCCGCAACCCCAGAGTCGGCCACGACTGGACCTAATGTCGGATACGTGATTGTAAAACTTTAATTTGAGAAACCAAATAAATAAATTTTTAAAAGGGAAGGGTCATCTAGTCCAACCGTCTGCAGAGCAGGAATCGCGCCACGGGGCTGCCAGGTCCCAGCAGCCAGCAGGGCCAATGGTCAGAGACGATGGTGGCAGCTGGAACGAGGCAACAATTCCTGCCTGGTGGGGGTCAGACTGGATGACCTTTGGGGACCCCTCCCAACTCTACAATTCTATATCTGGAGATGCTCCCTCCTTCAGAGGAAGGATGGGGGTTAGATGATGCAAGAAAATCCCCCCCCCGCCTCCTGAGCGTTTCCGGGTGGGGGGGCACTCTTATTCATGAAAATTCTCCAGGAAATCTGAAAACCTTGAATGCTACCCCCCTCAAAAAAGTAGTAACAATGAGGTTAAGATTTCCTAACGCCCCCCCCACCCAGAAAAAAGGCCATAAGGGAGGAAGGCTAACCCCCGCATTGCAGAACCTTCCTGGAGAAGGATGGGGGGGTGTCTCCATCTCAATGCCAAAGGGGGGGGGAGTTCAGTGGCAACAGCTCCTCTACCCAAATAGGGGGCCCCCTTGGAGCACGTGGCTGGCGGGGGTGAGGGGGGGTCTTGGGCACGGAGTGGATGGAAAATTTTTCCAGAGGGGGCGGAGCCGCGAGTGGGGGGGGGGAGAGGGATAGGCGGGTCCCGGGGAAGAATTAAGGCGCCGCCGGCAGGAGGCTGAGCGCATTGCGCAGAGCGGAGCAGCTTCGGTCAGGTGCGCCCGGGCGCGGGGCTGGGAGATGCGTCAGCCCAACACCGCAGCCCTTTGTCTGAAGATGGCCCGGGTGGTGGTGGGGAAGGTTTGGGCTTGGAAGAGGGGGGTTGGACGCCGGGGACCCCTTGGGCGTCTCCAAAACGCCCGGTTTACCTTTTCCAGGACGCCTGGGTCCTCCTCTCTCTCTCTCTCTCTCTCTCTCACACACACACACACCTCTGTTCCTCCAGGACGCCTGGGTCCTCTTCCTCCCCGCCCCCACTCCACCTCTGTTCCTCCAGGACGCCTGGGTCCTTTCTCTCTCTCTCTCTCTCTCTCTCTCTCTCCCTCCTTCCCTCCTTCCAGGACGCATGAGTCCTCTCTCTCTCTCTCTCTCTCTCTCTCTATCTCTCTCTCTCTCCCCCACTCCCACCTCTGTTCCTCCAGGACGCTCGCGCTCTCTCTCTCTCTCTCTCTTTCTCCCTTCCTCCTTCCCTCCTTTCAGGACGCCTGGGTCCTCTCTCTCTCCCTCCCTCCCTCCCTCCCTCCTTCCAGGACACCTGGGTCCTCTTCCTCTTCCTTTTCCTCTCCCCCACCCCTCTCCACCTCTGTTCCTCCAGGACGCCTGGGTCCCCCCCGCCTCTCTTTCTCTCCCTCCCTCCCTCCCTCCACCTCTGTTCCTCCAGGACGCCTGGGTCCGTCATATCTCTCTCTCTCTCCCTCCCTCTCCTTCTCTCTCTCCCTCCCCCCCCCCGGACGCCTGGGTCCCTTTTCCCTCCTGCTTTGCAAAGGGAGGCGCTGCGTCCCCCGGGAGGAAAGAAGAGGTTGAGGGGGCCTTCCTCCATGTTTCAAAGACCTCTTCGCCTTTTCTTTTTCTCCTAAATTGTCTAGATAGGATGAAGAAGGGGGGGGGGTCGGACACCTGGGTCCCCTCCCCCCAGCGTTGCCACTTAGTTAATAATTGGACAGTGCAGTGTGGTTATTTCTTACAGCAATGTAAAAATGCAATGTTTAAATCGCGTTGAAACCATTTAGGGTGGGTGGGCCACTGACCTCAACTGGCAGTCTTGAGTTTGGGGGGGGGGAGCGCAGGGATGTTTCTCGGACACCTGGGTCCGCCCCAGCCCCCTTTCCACTCTGTTTTCCTCCCCATGTTTCCCCAAGATTTATTTTCCCTGTCTTAATGGAGCCACGCCATAACAATTCCTCTTCCTCCCGTGCCTCTGCATGAGTCTCTGTTCAGGCTTCTCCCGCCTTCTGAGCGCTGGGATTGGCTCACTGCCCTTTCACTCCCCCTTTTTCCAGCACAGAGACTCTGCAGAAGCGCCTCTGCCCTTTTCCTTCCTGCGTTCTCCATCCATCCGGAACAGGAACTCGCGCAGAGAGACGCATGCCTCACTCTGTGCTTCTGCAAGAGGAAGAGCGAAGCGTCCCTTAGGCATATTGAAGCGGCTACCAACTATTTCACCCTCTTTCTCCTCCAGAACAAACATCATGACATCCCCGTTTGTGGTCGAGAGCCCGGACGTCAAGTACACCCCAGACTTCATTGAGGCCAGATACAGCTACCCCACAGCTCAAGTCTGCCAGGAAAACGGGGTGACCAAGGTATGGTATAAAATGAGGAGTGGGGGGGCTCAAGATGGCTGAATTGAATGAAGGAGTAGAGGTGAGGGGGGCATCAGATGTTCCTTAAACAGGTCCACACCAATTCGAACTATCTGGCAGTGTGCAGAGGTACAGTGGTACCTCGAATTAAGTACTTAATTCGTTCCGGAGGTCCGTTCTTAACCTGAAACTGTTCTTAACCTGAAGCACCACTTTAGCTAATGGGGCCTCCCACTGGTGCCACACTGCCGCCACGCGATTTCTGTTCTCATCCTGAAGCAAAGTTCTTAACCCGAGGTACTATTTCTGGGTTAGTGGAGTCTGTAACCTGAAGCGTATGTAACCCGAGGTACCACTGTATATGGCTGGTGGGCATGCAGCTTCTTTCCTAAGCCTTCGCGGGAGTAGAGCGATCCCCGCAGAGACTTGGGAAAAGGTCAACAAGTGGGCTGGGGTATTTACGGTAAGGTAGCCACGGCGGCGGCGGCGGGTCCGTGTCAGGTGATCTGAGGCGAGTTGCCGCTGGCGCTGCCGCCCAAACGACGCCGCTTGCCCAGAGGAGGGCAGAGAGGCGAGGAAAATGCAACATGGCCCAGCAGCTGCAGCAGCAGCGGCGGCGGCGGGGCTGTGAGGAGGGGCTGCCTGGCGCGCCCTCCGCGGCCAGCGCTGAGAGCCGCTGCCAGCTCGTCGGTTCCGCGAGACATGGGCCTCTGCTACAGCCTGCGCCCGAGGCTCTTTGGCGACTCCAGAGGCGGCGAGCGCGCCCCCCAGATGTTGCGGCCGGTGCGGCCAGCCCCCCTGCACCCCCCACGCTACGCCACTGACAAGTGGACAACTCTGGGAAACGGGTGCGGTGGGGGGCAGAGGGATCTTTGCACCACAGCGCCAGGTATGCTTAAGACAGTCCTGACACTGTCCCACCATCTCGTCCTCCGTCGTCCCCTTCTCCTTGTGCCCTCCATCTTCCCCAACATCAGGGTCTTTTCCAGGGAGTCTTCTCTTCTCATGAGGTGGCCAAAGTCTTGGAACCTCAGCTTCAGGATCTGTCCTGACGTTCTTCTGCATTGTCACTCCCGCAGGTGAAACCATCCTCCACCGATGTCGTTTTCCGCACGGAGAGGCGTGTCCCCAAGCTGGGCGTGATGCTCGTCGGCTGGGGCGGGAACAATGGCTCCACGGTGACGGCTTCTGTCTTAGCCAATCGGCTGGGCCTCTCCTGGATGACCAAGACGGGACGGAAGGCGAGTGAAACTGGGGGCAGCTATCGGGCTTTATGTGGGAACGAGGGCTAAAAACAGGAGTAAGGAAAGTTTTGTGCCGGGCCAAGTCCGACTAGCCTTTTGGTAGCAACAAATGTATTTTATCTTTTTTTATATACGGGGTGTGTGTGTCCATGATTGTTTTCATTTCTGCTGTTTTCTTCTTTCCTTCACTTCTGTTTTTCCTTTTGTTGTCGTCGTTTGTCTTGTTTACTTGTCAATACTGCAGCGAGTCACTCTGGGAAACTTGTTTCCCCCTTTGAATAACGTTTGGGGATGCGGGTGGCACTGTGGTCTAAACCACAGAGCCTAGGACTTGCCGATCAGAAGGTCGGCAGTTCAAATTCCCACGACAGGGTGAGCTCCCGTTGCTCGGTCCCTGCTCCTGCCAACCTAGCAGTTCGAAAGCACGTCAAAGTGCAAGTAGATAAATAGGTACCACTCCGACGGGAAGGTAAACGGCATTTCCGTGCGCTGCTCTGGTTCGCCAGAAGCGGCTTAGTCATGCTGGCCACATGACCTGGAAGCTGTACGCCGGCTCCCTTGGCCAGTAAAGCGAGATGAGCGCCGCAACCCCAGAGTTGGTCACGACTGGACCTAATGGTCAGGGGTCCCTCTACCTTTTATATGGTTTATCCTGCGCCTTCCATCAAAAGGGCCAGGTTGGTTTTGAGGAGAAAATGTTGGCTGAAATCTGATAATTCCTTTCCACTAATAAAAAGCAACATTCAATCTTTCATCTGGAGGTGAAAATATTGATTTTGGTCCAATCCGTTTTCCCCACCCGCTTCTAATAAAAAGCATCGTTCAGTCTCTGGTTTCTGATCTGTTGCTGTTTTCAGTCTGAAGTAAATCATTCTTAATTTTTTTAAAAAAACAAAACAGAAGCAGCTCCATGTTAGGACAACCCAATATGTCGACCCAAAAAAGTGCATTTCAACTGAGTTGGGCAATTGGTCTGTCTAACCCAGACCAGGGGAACCTTTGATAGAGAGATAAAATCTTCAATTTGCTTCAGCCACAGCAATCAAATACAGATCAGCCATTCTGAGAACTTATTATACAAATGAAAGAGTTGATAACTGCCCTTGACCACAAATATAGCATATGAACGAGTGAGGCTTTCTTTACGTTAACTGGTTAAACTGGTGTTAAACTGGTTGGGGAACCTTTGACTCTCCAGATGTTGTTGTTGTTGTTTAGTCATGTCCGCCTCTTCGTGACCCCCTGGACCAGAGCACGCCAGGCCCTCCTGTCTTCCACTGCCTCCCGCAGTTGGGTCAGACTCATGCTGGTAGCTTCCAGAACACTGTCCCACCATCTCATCCTCTGTCGTCCCCTTCTCCTTGGGCCCTCCATCTTCCCCAACATCAGGGTCTTTTCTAGGGAGTCTTCTCTTCTCATGAGGTGGCCAAAGTCTTGGAGCCTCAGCTTCAGGATCTGTCCTTCCAGTGAGCACTCAGGGCTGATTTCCTTCAGAATGGAGAGGTTTGATCTTCTCGCAGTCCGTGGGACTCTCAAGAGTCTCCTCCAGCACCAGAATTCAAAAGCAGCCATTCTTCGGCGATCAGCCTTCTTGATGGTCCAGCTCTCACTTCCATACATCACTATTGGGAAAACCACAGCTTGAACTAGACGGACCTTTGCTGGCAAGGTGATGTCTCTACAACATCTCCAGATGTTTCTGAACTACAAATCCCATCAGCTAGGGATGATGGGAGTTGTAGTTCAGCCATACTGGAGGGCCAAAGTTTACCTGCACCTGATCAAGATAACCTCTGGGAAGATCACAAGTGGAGAGGGAGAGGCAGAGAGTCTCTAAGATTACCAGATTCTTTTCAATGAATCCAGGGACACTCCAACTTCCTACTAAACAGATGGATTTTGTCAGGGAACTGATTTGTAAATCCAGGGACGTCTGGTAACCTTACCCCAAGGGTCATAACCCAACCCCCCTCACTGCAATGCAGGAATCTCCACCATTTTTTATTTTTGGCTCTCCAGCAACTAACTAAGGTAGACTGCTGCTGAACAGGGAGCTTTACCTATTGCCTAACTGATTTGTAAATCTGGGGACTGTCCCCGGGAAACGGGGACGTCTGGTAACCTTAGGGTAGACCATCCCCACCTCTTTTTTTGGGGGGGGGGTTCTCTGGGATAGACTGCCCCTGAACATGGAAGCTTGTGATGAGGCGCCCTTCCTCCAACCCCAGGCGCCCGCCAGATGTTTTGCCAGCAACCGAGCATACTTTGAAACCGGAGCAAACCTTTCCTGGGTTGTTGTTGTTTAGTCATGTCCGCCTCTTCGTGACCCCCTGGACCAGAGCACACCAGGCCCTCCTGTCTTCCACTGCCTCCCGCAGTTTGGTCAAACTCATGCTGGTAGCTTCGAGAACACTGTTCCACCATCTCGTCCTCCGTCCTCCCCTTCTCCTTGTACCCTCCATCTTTCCCAACATCAGGGTCTTTTCCAGGGAGTCTTCTCATCTCATGAGGTGGCCAAAGTATTGGGGCCTCAGCTTTAGGATCTGTCCTTCCAGTGAGCACTCAGGGCTGATTTCCTTAAGAATGGATAGGTTTGATCTTCTTGCAGTCCATGGGACTCTCAAGAGTCTCCTCCAGCACCAGAATTCAAAAGCATCCATTCTTCGGCGATCAGCCTTCTTGATGGTCCAGCTCTCACTTCCATACATCACTACTGGGAAAACCAGAGCTTTAACTATACGGACCTTTGTTGGCAAGGTGATGTCACTGCTTTTTGAGATGCTGTCTGGGTTTGTCATTGCTTTTCTCCCAAGAAGCAGGCGTCTTTTAATTTCGTGACTGCTGTCACCATCTGCAGTGATCATGGAGTCCAAGAAAGTAAAATCTCTCACTGCCTCCATTTCTTCCCCTTCTATTTGCCAGGAGGTGATGGAACCGGTGGCCATGATCTTCATTTTTTTGATGTTGAGTTTCAAACTATATTTTGCGCTCTCCTCTTTCACCCTCATTAAGAGGTTCTTTAATTCCTCCTCACTTTCTGCCATCAATGTTGTGTCATCTGCATATCTGAGGTTGTTGATATTTCTTCCGGCAATCTTAATTCCGGCTAGGGATTCATCCAGCCCAGCCTTTCGCATGATGGATTCTGCATATAAGTTAAATAAGCAGGGAGACAATATACAGCCTTGCCGTACTCCTTTCCCAATTTTGAACCCATCAGTTGTTCCATATCCAGTTCTAACTGTAGCTTCTTGTCCCACATAGAGATTTCTCAGGAGACAGATGAGGTGATCAGGCACTCCCATTTCTTTAAGAACTTGCCATAGTTTGCTGTGGTCGACACAGTCAAAGGCTTTTGCATAGTCAACGAAGCAGAAGTAGATGTCTTTCTAGAACTTTGCTGGGTACCTTCCCTGAATCGGGAAGGTTGTGGCTGAAGCTGTGAGCCAAGATCTCGACGTTTCTAATAAGTCCCCTTCCTTTCTCTCTCCTAGCATGCGAATTATTATGGATCTCTCCTGCAAGCCTCCACCGTGTGTCTGGGCAGTGGTCCGGCCGGTGACATCTACATCCCTTTCCGGGATCTTCTCCCAATGGTTCACCCCAATGATATCGTCTTTGATGGTAAGTGCTGGGTTCGAATCTCCCCAGACGTAGCCGGGATTTGCCCGTCGGAAACGGCGTCCGGGCGGAAATTGCTTAAATGTTATTTACAGATAAATTAAAGGTAAAGGGTAAAGGGACCCCTGACCATTAGGTCCAGTCGTGTACGACTCTGGGGTTGCGGCGCTCATCTTGCTTTACTGGCCGAGGGAGCCGGTGTACAGCTTCCGGGTCATGTGGCCAGCAGGACTAAGCCGCTTCTGGCGAACCAGAGCAGCACACGGAAACGCCGTTCACCTTCCCGCCAGAGTGGTACCTATTGATCTACTTGCACTTTGACGTGCTTTCGAACTGCTAGGTGGGCAGGAGCAGGGACCGAGCAACGGGAGCTCACCCTATCGCAGGGATTCGAACCACTGACCTTCTGATCGGCAAGTCCTAGGCTCTGTGGTTTAACCCACAGCGCCACCCGCGTCCCATGACCCCTACCTTAGATAGCTCTTTTTTTAAAAAAGGTATTGGGGGGGGCAGTATATTCACAGTGTGACCATTCCTGTGACCGTCTTGCCCTTTTCCCTCCCGCCAGGCTGGGACATCTCTTCCCTGAACCTGGCGGATGCCATGCACCGGGCGCAAGTCCTCGACTGGGCGCTGCAAGAGCAGCTGCGCCCCCACATGGAGAACCTGAAGCCAAGGGCCTCCATCTACATCCCCAAGTTCATCGCGGACAACCAGGAGGAGAGAGCGGACAACGTCCTGACGGGAACTATCGCACAGCAGGTGGGCGCTTGGGACCAGCAGGTGCGGGGCTCCCAGCTGCTGGCATTGCCCCTCGTGACGGGCTGGATCCAGACCCCCTGGGCTGTTCTGTGTGCAGGATAGCTCTGCAAAGCTCGGGTTTATTACAATGTCCTGGGTTCGATTCCTGGCAGCGTCGCCTGGGAGAGAAACACTGCCAGTCTGTGTTTGCCAAGCTGTTCTGTGTGCAGGATAGCTCTGCAAAGCTCGGGTTTATTACAATGTCCTGGGTTCGATTCCTGGCAGCGTCGCCTGGGAGAGAAACGCTGCCAGTCCGTGTTTGCCAAACTGGGTTAGATGGCCCAGGGGCTTTGGCTTTGCCTAAAGCAGCATTCTCTGATTTTTAAACCAGTCGTTTATTCAGAAGCTTGAAGACTTGTCTTAGTTTCTAAGGGAGGAACCGCAGCTCAGCTGTTCAACATCCCAGAATACTCCTGGGGAAAACTCCCTTGTCAGAAACCCTGGATAGCTGCTGCCGGTCAGTTTAGACAATACTGGCCTATGTGGACCTATGGTCTGTAGGAGGCATTTTTCCTATATTCCTACTTAAAACGACCCCTTTTATTCAAAACCACAAGAACTGTGATCGTAGGTTTTGTAATAATAATAATAATAATAATAATAATAATAATAATAATAATATTTTATTTATACCCTGCCCTCCCCGGCTAAAACCGGGCTCAGAGCGGCTAACATCAAATATATGACATATTACCATAAAATCAAGCAATCAAATAAAATACATCCGCTTGGACTACTGCAATGCACTCTATGTGGGGCTACCTTTGAAGGTGACCCGGAAACTGCAATTAATCCAGAATGCGGCAGCTAGACTGGGGACTGGGAGTGGCCGCCGAGACCACATAACACCGGTTCTGAGAGATCTGCATTGGCTCCCAGTACGTTTCCGATCACAATTCAAAGTGTTGGTGCTGACCTTGAAAGCCCTAAATGGCCTCGGTCCAGTATACCTGAAGGAGCATCTCCAGCCCCATCATTCAGCCCGGACACCGAGGTCCAGTTCTGAGAACCTTCTGGCGGTTCCCTCATTGCGAGAAGTGAGGTTACAGGGAGCCAGGCAGAGGGCCTTCTCAGTAGTGGCACCCGCCCTGTGGAACGCCCTCCCTTCAGATGTGAAGGAAATAAACAACTATCTGACATTCAGAAGACATCTTAAGGCAGCCCTGTTCGGGGAAGTTTTTAATATTTAACGCTGTACTGTTTTTAATCACTTGATTGGGAGCCGCCCAGAGTGGCTGGGGAAACTCAGCCAGATGGGCGGGGTATAAAATAAATTATTATTATTATTATTATTATTATTATTATTATTATTATTATTATTATTAAGCTAGATGGACTTAGCTGCATCCTCAAGGCATCCCAGGGATTCGTTCGCCATTTTGGGTTGGGAAATGACATTGTAGCATGCCTGGTCAATCTCCTCCCCTTTACTTAGATGGCCCAGATCCGACAAGATATCCGGGACTTCAAGAGTTCCAGCGGGGTAGACAAAGTGATTGTGCTCTGGACGGCCAACACGGAGTGCTTTTGCGACGCTCAGCCCGGTGTGAACGACACAGCCGACAACTTGCTCCAAGCCATTGAGGTAAGTTGCCCAAATACCTCCCTTCGCCTTCCTCCTCTCTAATCTGCACCTCCTCTTTTCCTGAGCCTTCTACTTCAATTGTTGGTTGGTTTGTTTTTAAATGAATTGCAGGGTCCTTTTTCTGCGAAGCGAGTTCAAACTTCCCTTGGCTCCCAAACTTCCCTTGGCTCCCGAGCAAGCGAAGGAGCCATGGGAAAGGCAAGGGGGTCCATGGGAAACTGAAGTTCTGCAAAGGACTTGGCAGCCATTTTTGGGACGGCATTTCTCCAAATTGTGGTTGGGGGGACATAACTGTGGCCCTCCAGACCTTGCAGGACCCAGGCTTCCATGGCTGTTGCCATCATCATCTCTGACGGGGGGGCTGATGCGAGTGCGAGTCCTGCAACCTCAAAAGGGCCACAGGCGCTCGCCTTCCCTGATCTGAGGATTTTTTCCCTCTCAGGAAAGGGAAGGTCTTTTCTAAAGAGCAGGGGTCGCCAAGCTAAGATGCAACCCACGGAGGCCTTCTAACCGGTCCACGAGCCGCCCCCCAACCGAGCCGCCTGCTTGGCGAGTCCCGACGCGCTGCGCTAAACTGGCGCAGCGCAGGGACTCTCTTCCGCGGCTCTGGAAATAGCGCCTGCACATGTCTGTGCCGCCGGAAATTGCTTCTGCGCATGCCCAGATGCCGAAAATCGCTTCTGCGCAGGTGCGATTTTCGGCATCTGGGCTTGTGCAGACGCGATTTCCGGTGTCGCGCTGCGCTGGTCCGGCCCACGGAGGATCTCTACGGGACTGATCCTGCCCATGCCCGGTAAGCCTTGCTGACCCCTGCTAAAGAGAAACACTCGCCCGACTCTCGTATCAAGGGATGCTTGCAAAATCCCAAATGTGTCGCTGCAGGACAGAACCCAGCAAGTTCCTAGTCCCTGGGGTGTATGGTTTTAGGGAGAGGGGATCTAGGGTCATCTAGCCCAACCCCCTGCAATACAGGAATTTTTTGCCCAACTTGAGACTCGAACCCACAACCCGGAGATTGAGAGTGAGGGATTTTGCTGGCCGCCAAGATTTGGGATCTAGAGGCTCTCCCCTGTGAGTTTCTGTGGTTATGGGGGGCGTGCCTGGGTGGGAGAGGTGCCCCCCAAGACACCTTCTGCCTTGCCGCCCATCGAACCACCCCTTTTCTCTTTCTTTTTTGGGGGTCCAGTGCGGGCTGGACGTCTCGCCCTCCACCCTCTTTGCCGTCGCCAGCATCTTGGAGGGGTGCAGCTACATCAACGGCTCTCCCCAGAACACCTTCCTGCCAGGGGTCATCCAACTGGCGGTTCAACGCCGCGTCTTCATCGTCGGCGATGACTTCAAGTCCGGTCAGACGAAGATAAAGTCGGTCCTGGTGGATTTCCTCATCAGCTCTGGAATTAAGGTCAGCCGCTTAACCCAAAAGGTCCGAAGGAAATTTCCCCAACCATTCTCTTTTTGTTGGGGTGCTGTCTTCTTTCCAATAGGGGGACCTTTGCGAGTACCTGGAACTAGCAAAACCCACGGATATAATAAGGAGAAAATCCAAAACTATGGTCATGAAGCAATGGGAGTTCTTAAATGATCACCGCATTCGTCGCTCTATAAGACGCACCAGACCACAAGACGCACCTAGTTTTTGGAGGAGGAAAACAAGGAAAAAAATATTCTGAATCTCAGAAGCCAGAACAGCAAGAGGGATCGCTGCGCAGTGAAAGCAGCAATCCCTCTTGCTGTTCTGGCTTCTGGGGTAGCTGCGCAGCCTGCATTCGCTCCATAAGACGCACACACATTTCCCCTTACTTTTTAGGAGGGGAAAAGTGAGTCTTATAGAGCAAAAAATACAGTAATCACATAATTCTGCCTCCCCCGAAAGCTGGCAGCAGCTGGGTTGCATGCTACGAAGAGCTCAAAAGCCACATCTCATAAATCCTAAAAGGGAGGATAGACTGCGGTTTCACTAACACATTTTCTGACAACAGGCTTATTTACTTTGCTTATGATTTTCAAAGATTTCACCCCACTTTCGCACTAAAAACCACACAGGCCTGTTTTTCGGAGCTTCCAGACAGCTTGAAAGATGAACTGTATTTTTCGCTCTATAAGACGCACCAGACCACAAGACGCACCTAGTTTTTGGAGGAGGAAAACAAGAAAAAAAATATTCTGAATCTCAGAAGCCAGAACAGCAAGAGGGATCGCTGCGCAGCGAAAGCAGCAATCCCTCTTGCTGTTCTGGCTTCTGGGATAGCTGCGCAGCCTGCATTCGTTCCATAAGGCGCACACACATTTCCCCTTACTTTTTAGGAGGGGAAAAGTGAGTCTTATACAGCAAAAAATACGGTATTTACAGAACCAGGGCTCGACTACAAAAACCTGGCTGTGTTTAGAATAATCTTGTACGTAATATAAAAAAACACAAAGTGAGACGTTAAAGGAAATCCAAAGGGAAAATGTGAAGAACGAACGGATTATAAAAAATAGTGGAAGTCTTTTAAAAACAACAACACTTTTTAAGATAGATAAGGACAAGATGAAATTATGCAATTGAATATAAATATAGATGGGAAACAGCTATGTATAGTGAATACTTATCTACTTTAAAAAAAATTCACCTATGATCTTTTTCTTTTACTTTATTTTTTCTTTGTTCCTTTTTTCTTTTTTCTGATATCTTTCATTTCACTCCTTTATAGTGAACAGCATTTTATAGAGGTATAAATAAGTATAAATATGAAAAGAGGCAAAGTATTCTCTAATTTTTTTCCCTTGGTTATATGTATTTTTTTTCCCGTTTGTATTTTCTTTTGTTGTAAATATGTATGTTTTCTAATTTGTACTTAATAATAATAATAAAAGAAGGTCCCACGGAAACGTCGAAACCATCCCTTGCTCCAGCTGCTATTGCCCCTGGAGCCTCCTATCGCTGGCGTGGCGCCCCCAAAACGTTGCCCAGAAGTGACTCTTGATACAGAAATGAGAGCAGTAGGGAGATCTGTCCACAGGAGTCTCTGCTGACCCCTAGCTTGACCCTTGGGGCAGCCAAACCGGCTCAACTGGTTCCAAACTGGAGTGCTTAACTGCCTCTCGAACCAGGAGAAGGCCGCTGTTAGGTGTCCTCTTTGTTACAGTCCCACTTTGCGATTTAATCGAGCTGTTCCCTGAGGCCTAGCAGCTTTGTGTGGTTTTAGTAATACAAATAGGGACGCAGGTGGCGCTGTGGGTAAAACCTCAGCGCCTAGGGCTTGCCGATCGAAAGGTCGGCGGTTCGAATCCCCGCGGCGGGGTGCGCTCCCGTTGTTCGGTCCCAGCGCCTGCCAACCTAGCAGTTCGAAAGCACCCCCGGGTGCAAGTAGATAAATAGGGACCGCTTACTAGCGGGAAGGTAAATGGCGTTTCTGTGTGCGGCTCTGGCTCGCCAGAGCAGCGATGTCACGCTGGCCACGTGACCCGGAAGTGTCTGCGGACAGCGCTGGCCCCCGGCCTCTTGAGTGAGATGGGCGCACAACCCTAGAGTCTGTCAAGACTGGCCCGTACGGGCAGGGGTACCTTTACCTTTACCTTTATTAATACAAATAGTAATAATTTTATCATTTAAATGCCGCCCAGCGGACTGCCCTAATCACTCTGGGCGGATGCCAGCAAAATATTAAAAACGTGATAAAACATCAATGGTTAAAAACTTCCCTAAACAGGGCTGCCTTCGGGTGTCTTCTAAAAGTCAGATAGTTGTTTATTTCCTTGACATCTGCTGGGTGGGCGTTCCACAGGGCGGGCGCCACCACCGAGAAGGCCCTCTGCCTGGTTCCCTGCAACCTCGCTTCTTGCAGGGAGGGAACCGCCAGAAGGCCCTCGGAGCTGGAGCTCAGTGTCCGGGCTGGAAGATGGGGGTGGAGACACTCCTTCAGGGATACAGGGCCGTTTAGGGCTTTCAAGGTCAGCACCAACACTTTGAATTGTGCTTGGAAACGTACTGGGAGCCAGTGTAGGTCTTTCAAGACCGGTGTTATGTGGTCTCAGCGGCCGCTCCCAGTCACCAGTCTAGCTGCCGCATTTTGGATTAGTTGTAGTTTCTGGGTCACCTTCCAAGGTAGCCCCACATAGAGCGCATTGCAGTAGTCCAAGCGAGAGATAACTAGAGTATGCACCACTCTGGTGAGACAGTCCGCGGGCAGGTAGGGTCTCAGCCTGCATAACCATACTGGGAGCCAGTGAAGGTCTTTTAGGACAGGTGCTATATGTTCCCAGTCACAAGTCTGGATTAGCAGCCGTTTCCGAGTCGCCTTCAAAATGAGCCCCGCGTGGAGCGCATGGCAGTAGTCCAAGCGGGAGATAACCAGAGCATGGACCGCTGTGGCGAGACCATGGGCAGGCAGGGAGGGTCTCCAATGGAGCTGGTGGACGCGGAATTGACCTGCACCTCCATGGACAGCTGTGAGTCCAAAATGACCCCCAGGCTTCGCACCTGGTCCTTCAGGGGCACAGTGACCCCATTTGGGACCAGGGAGTCCCGCAAGCCAAGCCTCTCATTGCTGCCCCCCTCTCTCTCTTGGGTTCCAGCCCGTCTCCATCGTCAGCTACAACCACCTTGGCAACAACGACGGGAAGAATCTTTCTGCCCCGGCCCAGTTTCGCTCCAAGGAGATTTCAAAGAGCAACGTCGTGGACGACATGGTACAGTCGAATCCCATCCTCTATGGGCCCGGCGAGCGCCCAGACCACTGTGTGAGTAGGGGCAGAGGGTGGTCAACATTTGCCCTGTGCCTTCCTGCACCAGGCTAGGGCAAGGCTTGCCTGGATGATGCGAGGATAATAATAATAATGATAATAATTTATTATTTATACCCCACCCATCTGGCTGAGTTTCCCCATCCACTCTGGGCAGCTCCCAATCGAGTGTTAAAAACAATACAGCATTAAATATTAAAAACTTCCCTAAACAGGGCTGCCTTCAGATGTCTTTTAAAGATAGGATAGCTGCTTATTTCTTTCACATCTGATGGGAGGGCGTTCCACAGGGCGGGTGCCACCACCGAGAAGGCCCTCTGCCTGCTTCCCTGTAACTTGGCTTCTTGCAATGAGGGAACCGCCAGAAGGCCCTCGGCGCTGGATCTCAGTGTCCAGGCAGAACAATGGGGGTGGAGATGCTCCTTCAGGTATACTGGGCCGTTTAGGGCTGTCAAGGTCAGCACCAACACTTTGAATTGTGCTCGGAAACGTACTGGGAGCCAATGAAGATCTCTCAGGACCGGTGTTATGTGGTCCCGGCGACCAGTCTGGCAGCCACATTCTGGATTAATTGCAGTTTCCGGGTCACCTTCAAAGGTAGCCCCACGTAGAGCGCATTGCAGTAGTCCAAGCGGGAGATAACTAGAGCATGCACCACTCTGGCCAGACAGTCCACAGGCAGGTAGCGTCTCATCCTGCGTACCAGGTGGAGCTGGTAGACAGCTGCCCTGGACACAGAATTAACCTGCGCCTCCATGGACAGCTGTGAGTCCAAAATGACTCCCAGGCTGCGCATCTGGTTCTTCAGGGGCACAGTCACCCCATTCAGGACCAGGATTGTTTCCCCTGTTTCCTCACCAGCGCCCATTTCCCCTCCTCTCCCCGGACAGGTGGTGATCAAATATGTCCCCTACGTTGGCGACAGCAAGCGGGCTCTGGACGAATACACCTCCGAGATTGCAATGGGCGGCACGAGCACCATAGTCATTCACAACGTCTGCGAGGTACGTGAGGAATGGCGCCGGGAGCGGATGAGGAAGTGGGGAGTGTTGTTCCCTACTCCCAAGTCCCCATCTGGAGAAAGAGACCTAGAAAATGAGCGGCTGAGGTTCGCCAGCTATGAAGGACTTGCTCGCAAATTTTCTTGACAGCTGCACGAATTACCGTATTTTCCGCTCTATAAGACGCACCAGACCGCAAGACGCACCTAGTTTTTGGAGGAGGGAAACAAGAAAAAAATAATATTCTGAATCTCAGAAGCCGGAACAGCAAGAGGGATCGCTGCGCAGTGAAAGCAGCGATCCCTCTTGCTGTTCTGGCTTCTGGGATAGCTGCGCAGCCTGCATTCGCTCCATAAGACGCACACACATTCCCCCTTACTTTTTAGGAGGAGAAAAGTGAGTCTTACAGAGCAAAAAATACGGTATTATATCTAGGAAGCAGAAGGGGCAAGCAAAATATGAAGGAGGAATGGTATATATAGAGGTGTGGGATATTGATGATAACATGTGCCGTTAAGGCAGCCTTTCTCAACCTGTGGGTCCCCAGATGTTGTTGGACTACAACTCCCATCATCCCTGAGCTCTGGCCTTGCTAGCTAGGGGTGATGGGAGTTGTAGTTCAACAACATCTGGGGACCCACAGGTTGAGAAAGGCTGTGTTAAGGAAGCGTAAATTATTTGGAGGCGATGTGGAAGGTGTTTGTAGAATTTGTACTGTTAAAATGGAAAGGGGTCAAACCATCGCAAGAGGTGTTGAAATTGTGGGAGGTTGGATAGTTACAATGGAATGGTATTTATTCATGATTATTACTTTGTCAAAATAGGGACCCGCGTGGCGCTGTGGGTTAAACCACAGAGCCTAGGGCTTGCCGATCAGAAGGTCGGCGGTTCGAATCCCCGCACGACGGGGTGAGCTTCCCGTTGCTCGGTCCCTGCTCCTGCCAACCTAGCAGTTCGAAAGCACGTCAAAGTGCAAGTAGATAAATAGGTACCACTCTGGTGGGAAAGTAAACGGCGTTTCCATGCGCTGCTCTGGTTCGCCAGAAGCGGCTTAGTCCTGCTGGCCACATACCCGGAAGCTGTACGCCGGCTCCCTCGGCCAATAAAGCGAGATGAGCGCCGCAACCCCAGAGTCGGCCACGACTGGACCTAATGGTCAGGGGTCCCTTTACCTTTACCTTATTTTGTCAAAGTAATAAAATATTTGGGGGGAGGGGAGAGATAATGAGCGGCTATTTCCAAGCTGGGGAGACAGGTGCGAATCATCGCTTCCGAGGTGGACGGTTTGGAACAACAAAGCAAATTCTTCCTGCTGCTCCTGTCTCTGTAGGATTCCTTACTGGCCAGCCCTATAATCTTGGATTTGGTGATTCTGGCTGAGCTCTGCGAACGGATCCGAGTGACCGTCGCGGGCGACTCGGAGCCTGAGCCACTACACAGCATCCTGTCTCTCCTGGGTTTCCTCTGCAAGGCTCCCCTCGTCCCCGAAGGAGCGCCAGTCGTCAATGCCTTCTTTCGCCAAAGGGCCGCTATTGAGAACCTGTTCAGGTAATCGCAGGAAACTTTGGAAACTGGATGGTAGTTGGCCTTGGTCTTCCTTCTGAGGAGACCCACCGAACTGAGCAGGCGTAACTAACTTGGATCTGTTATTTTCAGAGGGTTTGCTCTGAGAGGGATGCAGTTTGGTCTAGTGTATCAGGACGTGGCTTTAAATAACCATAGAAACTAGCTATCTTCCTATATACATGTAAACGTAAGCCTGTCATCATAGAATCCTAGAGTTGGAATAGACCACAAGGGCCATCGAGTCCAACCCCCTGCCAAGCAGGAAACACCATCAGAGCACTCCTGACATATGGTTGTCAAGCCTCTGCTTAAAGACCTCCAAAGAAGGAGACTCCACCACACTCCTTGGCAGCAAATTCCACTGTCGAACAGCTCTTACTGTCAGGAAGTTCTTCCTCATGTTTAGGTGGAATCTTCTTTCTTGTAGTTTGGATCCATTGCTCCGCGTCCGCTTCTCTGGAGCAGCGGAAAACAACCTTTCTCCCTCCTCTATATGACATCCTTTTATATATTTGAACATGGCTACAGTTTGCGTAGCTGCCAATGGAAGTGTGTGCATTTGTGCACATAAACACACACACATATATACTGCAGACCATGGTTTGTATTTGCCCCCTCCCAGAAAGGTTTTGTTGTGTTTCAAAGCACACACACGCAATTTGCCATTTTGAAATCCTTTTCCAGCTTTAAACATATTGCTACTGACATCTCCTTTGAGTCCTCCACCGTGAAGCCTTTTATATATATAATAAACTATTTTTTATTATTTTTAAAGCTTGAAAAACGAATATACAGGGCCACCCAGGCCTAAGAGTCCACATCACTGAGGCAGTGCTGACAGAATAGTCCATACTGAGCTTTTATAGATGGACCAGAGGCTTGGTTTCAGTATCAGAAAGGCCTCATAAGTCCTTTTCCCTCCTTCCAAACACATCTTCCGGGGTCTTAGCCCCCAAACCTGTTGGGTATGTCTGAGGCTATTCCAGGTTACTCCAGGTGCAAACCAGCTCCAAATCTGGACCTTTAAAATAAATAAACCTCCCAAATATTATATGTCACCCATTTGACTGGGTTTCCCCAAGCCACTCTGGGCGGCTGCTGACAAAATAACTGAAAACACAACAGAACATCAACCATCAAAAAAACTTCCCTGAAAAGGGCTGCCCGTTTTGGCGATGCTCTGGTAACCATGGAAACCGCCTCCCTGTATCTTTTAACTCTCACCCCCCCTAAAGGGATGAGTTGCACCAGTAACCATGGCAACCCTGGGCCTAGCGAAACCCTCATCGATTGGGGTCTCCATGGTAACCCTGTGTGTTGCTCCTCATGGGATGAGGTGTCTACAATTCTCCCTCCCTCTTTTGAGACAGACAGATGGAAAATAGGGTCTGATCCTGGCACTAGGGAGCTGCTGCCAGTCAGGGTAAGGCAATACTGAACTGTATTGCTCACTGGTCTGCGGTGCCCAATTTGTTGTTGTTTAGTCGTTTAGTCGTGCCCGACTCTTTGTGACCCCCTGGACCAGAGCACGCCAGGCACTTCTGTCTTCCACTGCCTCCCGCAGTTTGGTCAGACTCATGCTTGCATCTTCGAGAACACTGTCCCACCATCTCATCCTCCGTCGTCCCCTTCTCCTTGTGCCCTCCATCTTTCCCAACATCAGGATCTTTTCCAGGGAGCCTTCTCTTCTCATGGCCAAAGTCTTGGAGCCTCAGCTTCAAGATCTGTCCTTCCAGTGAGCACTCAGGGCTGATTTCCTTCCGAATAGAGAAGTTTGATCTTCTTGCAGTCCATGGGACTCTCAAGAGTCTCCTCCAGCACCAGAATTCAAAAGCATCCATTCTTCGGCGATCAGCCTTCTTTACGGTCCAGCTCTCACTTCCATAGATCACTCCTGGGAAAACCATAGCTTTAACTATACGGACCTTTGTTGGCAAGGTGATGTCTCTGCTTTTTAAGATGCTGTCTAGGTTTGTCATCTCTTTTCTCCCAAGAAGCAGGCGTCTCTTAATTTCGTGGCTGCTGTCTCCATCTGCACTGATCATGGAGCCCAAGAAAGTAAAATCTCTCACTGCCTCCATTTCTTCCCCTTCTATTTGCCAGGAGGTGATGGGACCAGTGGCCATGATCTTCGTTTTCCCCCCATCCAATTTAAACAAATGCTTCAATCAGAACCAGGAGGACTGGAATCTTAGCTTATTTTAAACACTTTGCGTGTAGAAGATCCCAGGCTCCCTGGAGAGTGACTGCTGCCAGTCCGTGCTGGCAATATTCGGGGTCAGCTCACTATAAAGGCACCACCCTGTGTTCCCTGTCCGAATCAGCCACGAGGAGTAGAAACTCACCTTGTTTTTAGGAATACAGCGGTACCTTGGTTCTCAAACGCCTTGGTGCTCAAACAACTTGGAACCCAAACGCTGCAAACCCGGAAGTTAAGTGTTCCGGTTTGCGAACTTTTTTTGGAAGCCGAACGTGCTCCCGTTTTGAGTGTTACACTTCCGATTTGAGTGCTACGGTGAGGTCTGTCTGTTTTTGCTATTTATATTGGGTTTTTGTGGCTCTTCTTTGTTTTGGTTTTGGGACTGCGTGGAACAGTTCGGCTACCGATTGATTGTGTGACTGCAGTACATTGTACATTGCTTTCATTTTATGGATCAGTGGTCTCGTTAGATAGTAAAATTCATGTCAAATTGCTGTTTTAGGGGTTATTTTTAAAAGTCTGGAATGGATTAATCTGTTATTATTATTATTATTACTATTATTATTATTATTATTATTATTATTATACAGTGGTACCTCGGGTTAAGTACTTAATTTGTTCTGGAGGTCCGTTCTTAACCTGAAACTGTTCTTAACCTGAAGCACCACTTTAGCTAATGGGTCCTCGCGCTGCCGGAGCACAATTTCTGTTCTCATCCGAAGCAATGTTCTTAATCCGAGGTAATATTTCTGGGTTAGCAGAGTCTGTAACCTGAAGCGTATGTAACCTGAAGCGTATGTAACCCAAGGTACCACTGTAGTAGTAGTAGTAGTAATAATAATAATAATAATAATTTATTTATATCCCACCCTGCCCAGCTGAAGCCGGGCTCAGAGCTGCTAACAACAATAAAAGTAACACAGCATTCTAAAACCAATTCATTCTAAAATCAACTCAAAATCAAATTAATGGCAACCATTGGAGTAGAGGATTTTGCATTGCTTTCTATGGGAAAGCACGCCTTGGTTTTGGAACGGTCTTCCGGAACGGGTTAAGTTTGAGAACCAAGGTACCGCTGTAAATGAGTTCAGGATTAGGGGAAGCAACTTTCATTTATCTCCTTGCACAGAAGATGCTCCGAGTGCGTAACTCGGGTTTTTCTCGCCCTACAGAGCCTGCGTGGGTCTCCCCCCACAGAACCACATGCAGCTGGAGCACAAGACCCGGAGGACGTGGCCCTGCGCCAAGCAGGCCCCCCCGACGCCTGAACCCCAGCGGCTCGGCCGCCCGCCCCCAAGAAGGCCGCCCCTCACGTGAACGGATTTGTGCGGTCGGCAGAGAGCAACGGGCACCAGCCTCCCGCAAGCCACCTCCTCGGTTTGCAAAACTAGGCTGGCACACCGAATCGTGGCCGGGCCACACGGCTTGGTTAGTTTTTTGTGGGGGTGGGGGTGGGAACGATCCTTCTCTTTCCAACAAAAATTCAGAAGCTGCGGGTGTTTCGGTTGTTTGTTTTTGAGTTCGAAACAATAAAGGCTTAGCTAAGAGTCGTTCTGGTAGTTTTTGTGTGAAGGTTTTGCTGGAATAATAATAATAATATTTGGGTAAATGGTAAAGGGACCCCTGACCATTAGGTCCAGTCGTGGCCGACTCTGGGGTTGCGGCGCTCATCTTGCTTTATTGGCCGAGGGAGCCGGCGTACAGCTTCCGGGTCATGTGGCCAGCAGGACTAAGCCGCTTCTGGCGAACCAGAGCAGCGCACGGAAACGCCGTTTACCTTCCCGCCGGAGCGGTACCTATTTATCTACTTGCACTGGTGTGCTTTCGAACTGCTAGGTTGGCAGGAGCTAGAACCAAGCAACGGGAGCTCAATCCGTCACGGGGAACCGCCGACCTTCTGATCGGCAAGCCCTAGGCTCTGTGGTTTAACCCACAGCACCACCCTCTTTAATTCCCCAACACCCCCCTTGCCAAACTGGCTGTGTTTCAACGAATAAAGGAGGGCAGAAATTGCTGTATGCTTGGCATGCAGAAGGCTGCAGGGTCCGTCCCTGTGTGAGGTTGATGATGCGGAGCGTACGAGCACTTCATGAGGACTGCAGCCTTAGGGGCAAATAGCCCTCTCTTACCTGCTAGGACCAGGATAAGCGGGGGCTGTTTGCGTGTGAGCACCCAGGGAAATAGGGTGTGGGGAATCTGGAGGGGTGCTGTTGGGGGACGGGAATCCGGTGGGACCCCCCAAAAATGTACCTAAATGAAACATCATTCCTGGATTTTGTGGGGGTGGACTAGATGACCCCTGGTGTTCCCTTACCAACTCTGTAGACTCTTGCTTTGCGAAAAGAACACACACAATTCCTCCCCCATCGTTTTTTCTTTAAAAAATCAAAGTTTAACATTTATTGATGCAAGGCTTTCTATTCTTTTTCCCCTCCTTGTCGGCGACTTTTTAAAAAAATTGAAGCGGCTTTCCAAAAAACGGTAAGTTCTATTTACAGCGACGAAAGAAACCACCCACCGAGGCAAGCAATTTCTACCCCATCTCAAAGATCCTCCCCCCTCTTGCAATAATAATAATAATTAATAATAAGGTAACGTCAACCGGCCCAGGCGAATCTTGCCCTCTCGTTCACCCCCCCCCCCGTTCTGAATTCAATTCTTTTTGCAGATTGCATGAGGTTCCGTAGCAAAAGCAGAATGTTTTAAAAAATATAAAGTTTAAACGGAAGGGGAGAGCGGGTAATCTGGCAGGTTTTCCCCATTTTGCATATAGAATCGTCGATCTGGAAGGGACTATGAAATCTCCTTTTATCAAAAGTTTAGGAGCAATTTAGTGGCAGGGAACGTGCATTAAAAAATAGTAATAATGCCACTGGGAATTTATATAGGAAGGGAAAGGAATGAGTTTTCCAGCCTCTGAGCGACCTCATGCCAGGGCTGGGGCGGAGCCAAAGGCTAAATGTGGGTGGAGCAACAGTTTCTGTGGACACCCCCCCTTTTCTTAAAGGGCCACAACTACCACTGCTCTAGTCCAGCATTCTTCAAAAAAAAAATGGGGGGGGGGGAGTCCCCAGATGCAGCTGCACCACAGCTCCCATCATTCCTGGCCACTGACTGAGCCAACTGGCGCTGATGGGATTTGTAGTCCAATTACATCTTTGCAGAGTGGAGGAATCGAGGTTAATGATCGCTGCTCTTGGCTGACAGAAACGGGTGGGAGTTTTAATAAATTGGGATGCAGAGAGGTAAATAAAAAACCCTGCAGAAGAGCGCCGCCCTGCTGGCCGCTACAGGAATTTCGCCAGCTTTAAAAAAATAATCCAAGATTCTGTTTTTTGGGGGGGGTGAGAAGAAAGGGAAGGGGAAAATGTGGGGATTCTCCCACACCAACAATGAATCATGTCTTGCAAAACAAAAAACCACACACATTTAAAAGACGCAAGGCCTGCTCTGAACCAGTATTAAATCAGGGTTTGGCGTGGGTTTCTTGAACAGAGGCTACTTCCCTGCCCCGCTCTGGGGGCTGGAGGCAAAAGTGGGCAGGGCCACGGATGCGAATTCCGCCTCTGTACAGCAGGCCATGTTTCGATATGCACGAAACCCTCTCCTCTTCCATCGGGGAGGCGGTCCGAGTTCGACGGTGCCAGGAGAAAACACTCAAGGGAGGTGCAAAAGCAGGGTTCCCGCGAGCCTGCCCCCCCACAAACGCTGCTCCCCTTCCGCCCTGTTTACAAACCATGCCCCCAACTCAATTCCCCAATACAGAATCCAGCCCCTCCGCCGCCCCTCTCCCCAAAAGACAATCCAGCTCTGCAGCATTTTTTTTGGGGGGGGTTGCCCAGCGCCTTCCCCCAAAGTACCCCAGGTGCTCCTGGTGTCTTCGAGGGGCTGTGAAGTCAAAAAAAGCCGGGAGATGGGGAGAACAAGGCAGTCCAGCCTGCCCCATTGGAGATTTCGCAAGCGTCTGAGAGATGGGGGCGACACAAGTCGATCTATAAATGTGTTTGGATCAGCAGTTCCGAGTTGGGATAGGCAGCCGGGATGGAGAAGAGTTTATTAAATTATTATTCTTTGAAAGGACCTCCCCGTCTTGCCTCCACGGTGGTCAGTCCAGGTCGTATCAAAGGAGGCGGACGCTAGGGAAATGTCACTGGAGCGTTTGGGGACCAGTGGCGTCGCTCCGTAGCGAGAGACATTGGGGGGGGCACCTGCCCCCCGGGGTCACAACTCGGACAGCTGCCCCTGTTTCCAGTACGAGATGGTGTCGTCGGCGTTGGGAGTGGCCGGTCCGGTCCTGCCTGGCCACGGGGCGCCCCGGCCCCCACGTGGACCCCGGGACCCGCGGGAACCTCGCCCCCGCCGCGGGCGGCGCTCCACGCAGGACCTGCCGCTCTCGGTCTGGAACGGGTTGAGGAATCCGGCGCCCATCTCGCCGTCGTTCCGCGGGGTGCCAGGAGGATTGCTCAAAGGCGCCAGGCTGCTGGGAGAAGCCTTAGGAACCGGGAATGAGAAAACGGGGGTGGAGAGACAGTTACTGTATTTTTTGCTCTATAAGACTCACTTTTCCCCTCCTAAAAAGTAAAATGTGTGTGCGTCTTATGGAGCGAATGCAGGCTGCGCAGCTATCCCAGAAGCCAGAACAACAAGAGGGATCGCTGCTTTCACTGCACAGCGATCCCTCTTGCTGTTCTGGCTTCTGAGATTCAGAATATTTTCCCCCTTGTTTTCCTCCTCCAAAAACTAGGTGCGTCTTGTGGTCTGGTGCGTCTTATAGAGCGAAAAATACGGTAATTTCGTTCACCATAAAATGACCAACTTATTACCAAACTTAAAACCGTGGAGAGACCTGGCCTGAATAGAGACATTAGATTCTTATCTCGTTATACATGATAAAGCTGTTTTAACCATCTCACCCCTTGCTTTTTCCTGTAAAACCAATTGCAGTCGTTAATTACCACACCTATCAGCCAATCACCCATTCCCACCACCCTTCTGAGTAATACCCCTTCCCACCCTCTCACTATATACTATAAGGGTCTGGTGACTTCTGTTTCAGTGTATCTGAAGAAGTGTGCATGCACACGAAAGCTCATACTAACTTAGTTGGTCTCTAAGGTGATACTGGAAGGAATTTTTCATTTTATTTATTTTATTTTGACAGACCAACGCGGCTACCTACCTGTAACTAGCAAAGGTAAAGGTAAAGGGACCCCTGACCATTAGGTCTGGGGTTGCGGCGCTCATCTCGCTTTACTGGCCGAGGGAGCCGGCGTACAGCTTCCGGGTCATGTGGCCAGCAGGACTGAGCCGCTTCTGGCGAACCAGAGCAGCGCACGAAAATGCCGTTTACCTTCCCGCTGGAGTGGTACCTATTTATCTACCGTATTTTTCGCTCTATAACACGCAGTTTTTTCCTCCTGGAAAGTAAGGGGAAATGTCTGTGCGTGTTATGGAGCGAATGCCTACAGATGGCAGGGGGATCCGCTGCAGTTGTGAGCAGTCCGTGGCTCTCTTTGAAACTGCAAAGCGGGTGTAAGCGGCTCCTGTCAGCGAGCCGAGCCGGGCAGGAGGGAGAGAAGCAGAGCGGGGTTGGTTGCTTTAAAACAACCCCGTGCTCTATGTCCCTCTCTCTTCTCCACTGAGCTGCTAAGTAGCAGCAAAGCTTTTCAGCCAGCCTAGCCGGGAGGAGGGAGAGAAGCAGATCGGGGCTGGTTGCTGTAAAACAACCCCGTGTCCCTGCCTGCAGTTTTTTGCTGTCCGATTTTGGATCAGCCACTGTAGGGGCTGTGTGTGTGTGTGTGTGTGTGTGTGTGTGCTTGAGCTATCGTTCTCCTCCTCCTCCTTCCTGTTCACTCTCACAGCGCCCCAGCGCTCTCCTGCGACTTTAGGAGTGATACTCTGTGTGTCTCTGTGTGTGTGAGGCATCGTTCTCCTTCTCTTGCTTCCCCTTCACTCTCCCAGCGCCCCTGCTACTTCCAGCGCCCCTGCGACTTTAGGATTGATACTGTGTGTGTGTGAGAGAGAGAGAGAGAGGGGGGGGGATCGTTCTCCTTCTCTTGCTTCCCACTCCCAGCGCCCCTGCCTCTCCTGCGACTTTAGGATTGATACTGTGTGTGTGTGTGTGTGTCTGTGTGTGTGAGGCATCGTTCTCCTCCTCCTGCTTCCCCTTCACTCCCCCAGCGCCCCTGCGACTTTAGGGCGACTTTAGCATGGATCCACATGGATCCTCAGGATTTTTGCATTGGGCTACCCCAAACTCACCGTCAGATCACATGTCTGTGGCCACAGCATGAACCACAAAAATCATACATCCACTGTTTTGTTCAGGATATTTTTTTCTTGTTTTCCTCCTCTAAAAACTACGTGCGTGTTATGGTCTGGTGCGTGTTATAGAGCGAAAAATACGGTACTTGCCCTGGTGTGCTTTCGAACTGCTAGGTTGGCAGGAGCAGGGATCGAGAAACGGGAGCTCACCCCGTCATTGCGGGGATTCGAACCGCTGACCTTCTGATCGGCAAGTCCTAGGCTCTGTGGCTTAACCCACAGCGCCACCCGCGTCCCATGCATAGAAAAGGCCATAAGTGCCATCTAGTTCAGCCCCCTGCAATGCAGGAATCTTCCGCCCAATGTGGGGCCCGGATCCACAACCCTGAGGTCAAGGGTCTCGCGCTTGACCGACAGAGCTACCTCACCCAGCAGATCCCAGCTCCCAGGGGAAACCTCAACAGTTTGTTGTTTTGAAAATTTAGGTTTCTAGCCCTTAGGATGCTGGCATTGACCTGTCTGGAGGGCCAATGGAGTGTGCCTCTGGGGGTGAAGCCGGATTGCTGCTTTAGCAGCACTGAAGCAACCTCCCACTGGGGGGCAAGCCTAGCAGTGGGTCTGGAGGTCTTGGGCTGCCCAGACGACAAGAACACTCTCTCAGAACACTCCAAAGGAAAGCAGAGCAAGACGTTTGGCTGGGCTGCAGGAGTTGCTGGAAGGAGCCGTATAGGGTGCCGTCCAACCATCTTAGGGATAAGTGTAGGGCTATGTGTAGGGCTTAAAAGGATATGTGTAGGGCTTAAAAGGTAAAGGACCCCTGACCATTAGGTCCAGTAGTGGCCGACTCTGGGGTTGGGACGCTCATCTTGCTTTACTGGCCGAGGGAGCCGGCGTACAGCTTCTGGGTCATGTGGCCAGCAGGACTAAGCCGCTTCTGGCGAACCAGAGCAGCGCACGGAAACGCCGTTTACCTTCCCGCTGGAGCGGTACCTATTTATCTACTTGCACTCTGACGCGCTTTCGAACTGCTAGGTTGGCAGGAGGAACGGAAGCTCACCTCGTCACAGAGATTCGAACCGCCGACCTTCTGATCGGCAAGCCCAAGAGCTATGCCCCTGCCCTTAAAAATAAAGCAAGTTTCTGGTCCTCAGGACTGATTTAAATAAAGAGATGCCCTAGGGGGTGATCTGCATGCAGAGCAGAATCGCCCTTGGAGCACCCTTCCCCGCATTATCGAATCCCCAACAGTGCCCACCCCTCCAATTAAACAGACCCTAAACGCTTGGCCCTCCTGCCCCCCCCCCAGGGCAGCACAGTGCAAAATCTCACCTTTGACATGGGTTCCATTTCACCAGGACCTGCGGAGGAAACAGAGGCGGTTGGAATGAAACACCAGACCCTGTTAGCAGGGGCTTGGGGGTTAATAATAATAATAATATTAATAATCCACATCATCATCATCATCATCATCATCATTTATATCCCCAACCATCTGGCTGGGTTTGCCCAGCCACTCTGGGCAGCTCCCAACAGAATATTAAAAACACGATAAAATATCACACATTAAAAGCTTCCCTAAACAGGGCTGCCTTCAGATGTCTTCTGAAAGCCAGATAGTTGTTTATTTCCTTGACATCTGACGGGAGGGCGTTCCACAGGGTAGGTGCCACCACTGAGAAGGCCCTCTGCCTGGTTCCCTGTAACCTCACTTTTCACAGGGAGGGAACTGCCAGAAGGCCCTCGGAGCTGGACCTAAGTGTCCGGGCTGGACGATGGAGGTGGAGACGCTCCTTCAGGGATACTGGGCCATTTAGGGCTTTAAAGTTCAGCACCAACACTTTGAATTGTGCTCGGAAATGTCCTGGGAGCCAGTGTAGGTCTTTCAGGACCGGTGTTCTATGGTCTCGGTGGCTGCTCCCAGTCACTAGTCTAGCTGCCGCATTCTGGATTAGTTGCAGTTTCTGGGTCACCTTCAAAGGTAGCCCCACATGGAGCACATTGCAGTAGTCCAAGCGGGAGATAACCAGAGCATGGACCACTCTGGCCAGACAGTCTGCGGGCAGGGAGGGTCTCATCCTGCGTACCAGATGGAGCTGGTAAACAGCTGCCCTGGACGCAGAATTGACCTGCGCCTCCATGGACAGCTGTGAGTCCAAAATGACTTGTGGTCCTAAGAACGGTGAGAAGAGATTTGATGGAGAAGGCCAATGGGCCATCAGCGCCCTATTCTCACAGTGGCCAAAGGTCTGTCCCAAAGGCAAGACCCCCACCCCCATCTCTTCCTCCCAGTAACTGGAGAGACGGGAAACTATTCGGATTTTGTACTGATGGAGTCAAGAGACACAGAATATGTTGAATCGGCAAAGCTTAACAGCTATAATAGGAGACTCTAATGAGGACTAGTTGGTTTTTTGGGTGGGTTTTTTCTCTTTTTTTGGGTAAGCCTTTCTCGGATTATTAAAACTACACCATGAATAATCCGTGAGCAAGACAAGCGATTCTTCAACTAACCTAAGGATCCGTTCATGTGTTGTGGCTCCATCGCGTTCATTCCGGGCATCGCGCCTTCGGGGCTCAGCCCCATGGAGAACTAAAAATGGGGAGGGGAGAGGCAGTGAGGGGGACAGGGTTTGTGGGGTGGGAGAAGTTGGATGGGGGGTGTGGAGAAAGAGTTAGTGGCAAGGGAGAGGATGCTTCCGTCTCCCCCCTTAAACATTTATTTCTAAAATTTAGCTGCTGACCAGTCCGGGGTTGGTCTGGATGACCTTTGAGGTTCCCTTTTCGACCCCACACGTTCCTGCAAATTGGTCCAATCAAGAATATTCAAAAGCAATTGTTGGAAGACATCGGGACGCGTTGACAACCAGCAATGAAAAGCTGGTTTTCATCTGCGCCTCGGTTTTCATAGCATCACAGAACTGAAGGGCTGGAAAGGACGCAGGGTCACTACAGTGGTACCTCGGGTTAAGTACTTAATTTGTTCCAGAGGTCCATTCTTAACCTGAAACTGTTTTTAACCTGAAGCACCGCTTTAGCTAATGGGGCCTCCTGCTGCGCTGCTGCGCTGCCGGAGCACGATTTCTGTTCTCATCCTGAAGCAAAGTTCTTAACCTGAGGTAATATTTCTGGGTTAGCGGAGTCTGTAACCTGAAGCGTCTGCGGCGTGGCAGCAGCAGGAGGCCCCATTAGCTAAAGTGACTCCTTGCTCCTCGGACCCTTGACTTCGTGACTCCGTGCTCCTCGACCCTCGGACCCTTGACTTCGTGACTCCGTGCTTCTTGACCCTCGGACCCTTGACTTCGTGACTCCTTGCTCCTCGACCCTCGGACCCTTGACTTTGTGACTCCCTGCTTCCTGACCCTCGGACCCTTGACTTTGTGACTCCTTGCTTCTCGACCCTCGGACCCTTGACTTCGTGACTCCCTGCTCCTCGACCCTCGGACCCTTGACTTCGTGACTCCCTGCTCCTCGACCCTCGGACCCTTGACTTTGTGACTCCTTGCTCCTCGACCCTCGGACCCTTGACTTCGTGACTCCCTGCTCCTCGACCCTCGGACCCTTGACTTCGTGACTCCGTGCTTCTTGACCCTCGGACCCTTGACTTCGTGACTCCTTGCTCCTCGACCCTCGGACCCTTGACTTTGTGACTCCCTGCTTCCTGACCCTCGGACCCTTGACTTTGTGACTCCTTGCTTCTCGACCCTCGGACCCTTGACTTCGTGACTCCTTGCTCCTCGACCCTCGGACCCTTGACTTCGTGACTCCCTGCTCCTCGACCCTCGGACCCTTGACTTTGTGACTCCTTGCTCCTCGACCCTCGGACCCTTGACTTCGTGACTCCCTGCTCCTCGACCCTCGGACCTTTGACTTCGTGACTCCATGCTTCTCAACCCTCGGACCCTTGACTTTGTGACTCCTTGCTCCTCGACCCTCGGACCTTTGACTTTGTGACTCCTTGCTCCTCGACCCTCGACTTTGTGACTCCTTGCTCCTTCAACCCTCAGACCCTTGACTTCGTGACTCCTTGCTCCTCGACCCTCGGACCCTTGACTTTGTGACTCCTTGCTCCTTCGACCCTCAGACCCTTGACTTTGTGACTCCTTGCTCCTCGACCCTCAGACCCTTGACTTTGTGACTCCTTGCTCCTTCGACCCTCAGACCCTTGACTTCGTGACTCCTTGCTCCTCGACCCTCGGACCCTTGACTTTGTGACTCCTTGCTCCTTCGACCCTCGGACCCTTGACTTCATGACTCCTTGCTTCTCAACCCTCGGACCCTTGACTTCGGGACTCCCTGCTCCTCGACCCTCGGACCCTTGACTTCGTGACTCCTTGCTCCGTGACCCTCGGACCCTCGGACCCT